TCCAGCCTGTCTAGGAGTCCCTGCCTCTCTGCTGGGGCTTGGGGCTTGCATGTAACTGCTGAAGTTGTTTCGCTGCCCTGCAGTGCCAGGTTTATTTACCTGTGGGGTGGAAGAGCTCTCTGTGGGCTCCTGTGGCTCCAGACCCGGTGTGCAGGTGGGCTGGGGTCCGAGCAGAGACCTGGGTCCAGGTCCATGTGTTTTGTGGCTGCTGCAGAGCAGTGTCCCTAGCACGGGGAGGGCTGGGGACCTGCTCCCCCCTTGCAGGCTGGGCAGATGGAAGCAGCTTGTGTGCACAAGGCCCTTCCCGGCAGACCCCATCCCCGAGCACCCAGCGCCTGCCTCCCCTCTGCCCACAGCTGCCCACCGAGGGACCATGCCAGGCCTGTACGCCCTCTCCTCCTGGGAGGCTCTGCCCCTGAAGAGCTCCAGGGTGAAGGCTTGTGCCAACGGGTACTCCCTGAGCATCACTGCTCACCTCGTGTACACCAACCCCCACGAGGAGCCCGTGGAAGGTAAGGGGGAGCTACTGGGGCTGGCAGAGATCGGGGCTGCTTGCATGGCCTCCTGAAAGCACCTGTGCTGGAGAACATCCCATTTCCAGCCCACCTGTGTCCCAGCCCCCAAACCTTGCTCAGTTTGGGTAGCAAAGGCAGAAGCCAGCGGTGGTGGGGGCACTGCTGACACCCGGCATCACCCTGCAGCCAAGAGAAGAGTGAGGCTAAGCAAAAACATTTCCATTGCTGAGGAAGAGGGGGATTTCATCCTCCCTGCCCTCCTCCAGGCTAGTGATGCTCTGGGTCCTTTCTGTGTGCTGCCCTGCTCTCCTGCCTGCCCTCCTCCAGGCTAGTGATGCTCTGGGTCCTTTCTGTGTGCTGCCCTGCTCTCTTGCATCTAAATCACCCTGGTTGTCAGACCAGCTCTTAGCGGTGTGGCCATGGGCTATACCGTGCCACAGCGGTGTCTGTGCCGGGATCTGCCTTGGGGCTCTCTCCCACCTGTAGGTATCTTCATCTACCCGCTGGAGGAGTCGGAGGTAGTGACTGGCTTCGAGGCGGTGGCGGGCAGCCGGCGGGTGACGTTCCAGGTCCAGAACCGGCACCGGGCGCAGGACTGCTGCCTCCAGTGCGGCACCAGCCCAGGCCGGCTGCGCCGCTGTGCCGGCGGTAAGTGCTATGGCATGGGTGATCCTCTTTGGTCCTCCCGGCTGGGAGGCTCAGAACGAGCAGGGATGAAGCATGGGGGGGATAAGAGGGGCTGAGAGCTCCTGCCAAGTCGCCCTGGTGCCTTGGGGGGTCTCTGGGGGTGGAGATTTCAGCCTCCCCTTTCCCCTCCCTCTGCCTCTCCCAGGACTTTACCCATCCCTTTGCATGGCACTCATTACACCTGCGCTCTGTTGTCCCCTTTGAGAGTAATTAGTGCAATTAACACCCCCTCTTCCCCAACCTCTCACACCCTGCGGGTGGCGGGGGCACTGCCAACACCCAGCATCGCCCTGCAAGACCCCCCTCCTCATTGTCCTTTCCCCTGCCCAGGCCACCTCGTCCTGGATGAAGATGCAGAGCGCTCCACCTTCGTCATCGTCACGGGCACGCTGTGCCCAGCGGAGAGCCTGGCCGTCACCCTGAGCACGGCGCAGGAGTTGGCCACTCTGCCGGACGGGGCCCTGCGCCTCCTCCTCCCCCCCATCCTCACGCCCCGCGTCCCCACCGTCCCCGAGAGCGAGCCGGCAAGCTTGTGTGACGACAGGTTGGCCCTATGGTGATTTTCATGGCTTCCTCAGTCTCCGCCATCCCGTGCTTGCTGGCAGGTAGGGGGGTGGCTCGTGCGGTGTTGGTGTGTTGGCCAAAACCTCCCCAAACATGGGTGACATCCCCTGGGTTGGTGCCGAGGGAACTGGGCACCCTCTTGTGCTCCCTCCTTGCAAAGAAGCCCTTTCCCCATCCCACCCCCGGGGCTTGGGGCTGGGACCCCCCCCAAAGTCTCCCCATGCATGGCTTTGGGCAGCTCTGGGTCAGCAGCCTCCTGTGCTGAGAAGACGTGATGGATGGGGGAGAGGATGGGTGAGGAGGGGATACAGGGTGGTGGGGACACGCTCCTCCGTCAGCCCCCAGTTAATCCCATTAGAGCTGGCAGGGAGGAGCCACCGCCACAGCGCCGGGGCCCGCACC